CTAGTTGATTGTATATGTTACAGATGTTTAACTAAGGATCTCAATGAATGGCAACATTAACAAGAACTCTAAACTGATGCCAAACCTTGCCACGCTACTCGTACATAATGATGATGCCAAATAGTATGTAAATGACATAGCAAGAACTAAGTCTGCTATAAATATTGACCTGGTTCGTAATGCACCACTTGTTGCTGACAATAGAAACATCGGAACGATTGGCGATATCTCTGGCGACAAATTATCAGTGCCGTTTAAGGCATTGGGACGCGAGGTACATGCCAAGGGCCCCGTGCAGCAGAATGGCCTTGCGGCGGACCAAAAACAAAATTGCGGTTTTGGCTGTGTTAGCAGTTTAGTATTATATTAATAAATATAACAAAATGACACACATACACATGGAAATGCATTCTTATACTCTGTATCTGGGACTGAATGATTGAGGCGCTATTCTGGTTACTTTTAAGGTTAGAGTTTGTGCCTAGGGCTCCAAAACTTCATAAAAGGGCACTGCAAATTATGTGTAGTTTTTTATGTTGAGCATCTTCGCTTGCCAAGTTTCCGATGTGTTAACCCTATCTACACCTTAGCGGATCGAACATATATTTTAATGCTTTGTCCTATCGGAAATCATTAGTTGCCTCTCTAAGTATGTATGTTAACTCACTAATAGCGTGTAACAAACGTACATTGGACACTGGCCGAGAAAACTGGAAGCCATTGCTTTCAAAAGAATACTGTGTAAGCTTAACATGGAAATTATGATTACATACCAGAGATAAGCCATTACTGGGGGTTTTATTCAGTGAAAGGTGAAAGGTTCTTGTACAGACACAAACCTGCATTGGAAAATTGTTTTTTATTGAGTCCATTCAATTTGTGTGCTCCCCTTGTCTCAATCATGAAGGAACAATTTTCAAATCTGAACACCTTAATTTTAATTGGATGCGGTAGGATGAAATTCACAGACCCGAAGCACAAAAATATCTGCTCGATACGCCAAGGTGTAGATAGTATTTACTTATTGGAACCTTGGCTTGCGAAGATGAATATTCAGTGGCGTGTGTAAATTCCAAGTGAATATAAAGATGATACCCACAAAGCGTATGCTGCTTTTACGGGCCACGCATTTGCGATTTCGCCATTGAATGGGCTAAGGCAGCCATTTCTTCAAATGTTTGGATTCTGGTTAGCTGTTCTCAGCGGTTACTGTTTAGGAGGCAGGGTACAGTTTCGTATTTTGGCCCCTGGCAAATTTCTTAACTTAAGGCTATGGTGTGACTTTTTCAGCAATTATTGTCTACTAATTAAATATATGGATATATTTGTGAGCTAGGTGTTTCGGGCTTGTGTTGCTCTTGAAATTGATGTCAGGCATGTACACCTTCCATAGTTACTCTGCAATATGTTGATAGTGAAATACCAATAGTTGTCTACGAAGAAGAGCTAGCCTCTCGTAACAGTAAACATGTGGGTTTGGGACAAGGAGCATATCTCAAAAACGGCTTGGATGACAACTATTTTCAACTGCATCAGCCTGTTTAGTACACACTGTTTGGCAGAATTGTAATCTAGGTAAAGGGCTTGTGTTTGCACTGTGAGTACCACATGGTGTCAAAAATGACCTTCGGACATGAAAATTGCAGGTATAAATTTGGGGTTGGGGTGCATAAACTTCTTCTGCTATGAACTGCCACTGACTTCTCTGGTCAAGTGGATAATATTTTTATGCTTTGTTTTAATATAGGTATCTCAAAATATGGACATTCTTGACCTCACTTGTGTATTTGATTTTTTATGATTTTTTGTACTAGGTCACTGATTGCGGCATTAAATTTGTACATAAATACTGGACCCTGCCCCCTTAGCGCTTTCATCCAAGATGGAGAATACTTGGGACATAGTATAACAAAATTGGAGGCTGTAAGCATCCAGCGACGACGATCATGCACTGGACTGCTCTTTTACGGGTATTCATATAACAGAATCGACTCGGTTTAGATTTCACATTGCAAGCCCTGGTGCGACAATATATCATCTCTACAGATTGTGTTCCGTTTATGTTATGCCAACTGACCCATTTTAGGCTATTTTCAGAGAACCGCCCAGATGGCGTAGTGGTTAGAGCTTCACCTCGGATGCGTGAAGTCGTGGGTTCGATCCCCGGTCGAGTCATATCAAAAGCTTACAAAACGGATACTAACAGCTGCCTCGATTGGCGCTCAGCATTAAGAGATTAATGTTAGGACTTATCGGCCTGGTATCAGGATAATGTGACTGATAATGTGCTACATGTCTGCGACATGATGCCCAGTGATCAACATCACTATAAACTGCTACATTGCAAACATCGTAGCGATATGATCGAAAAATTGTTATAGCTACGTTAAAAGTCATAATCACATCACAGCACATTACTATTTTCAGAGTTTTTACGTTGAATGATCATCTGAAAAATTCTTATATAATGTCTTATGAAATAGTCGGAATAGCTAGAGGCTTTTACAAGTTACTTTTTGACATAACGTACAACTAACTATACACCAAATTATCCTCAGATAATATACACTTAAGATAACTTAGTATCTAAAAGAGTGTTGGCAGCCTTTCAAGGGCGATCAAAGTGATACTGTGGAAGATATCAAGCAAAACTTTTTTTATATAACTAGCGTGCGATTCAAAGTCATCGAACCTATAACAAATCAAGCGTATATCGCTTAAGACACAAAAAATCACAGTTATATTGCTACGATGTCTGCTGTGTGACAGCTAAGAGTGAAGTCTTGCACTGGGGCATCATCCCGCAGACAGGTAGCATGATGTCCCACCCAGTCACTTTATCCTGACAACAGGCCGACCAGTCCTAACACTAACCTCTTAATGATGAGCCCCATGGTAGGGTTAACACAGACGGGCTCTTATCAGTCTTTTATCAGAGTATATTGACACTAGTCTTTTTCTTTGAATTTTCATTTTTCATCGTCAAAGTTATTTTGTATTGATATAGCTGAGTCGTATTGACACTTCGGAGTTTAAGTATGTTTCTTTTAGTTTGTCCATGTAGCTTTGCTTGTTAAAGGAGTGGCATGGAGCCGGAAATGTTGTTGTTGTTGGGCTTAACGCCATTTTTCAGCACACGATGGGCTATTCATGGCGGCCAGTATTAATGGTGGAGGAAGAAACCGGGAAATCACCGGAAAGAACCACCGACCCACGAGAAGCTAATGGCAAGCTTTCTCACATATCCACATTCTCCGAATCCTAGACTCGAACACACGCAGACAGAGGTGAGATGGCAGTGATCCGTAACGGACAGCGCTTTAGACCACTCGGCCACTCGGAAATACCAAAATGAATATTTTTGAAAATAAGATTAAAATATGAATATATCCAAACTTTACGATCAATAAACTATTTTATGCAAATGTTAATTATTTTAATTGAGAATGAATAAACCCTAAAGAAATAGGGTTAAAATAGGGATGAAACGAAAAACATTTTCCGCAAAATTGAACATATAAGGACTTTGTCTTTCATTATTGTTGATTAATAACTAAAGATATCATGATTGTGGTTTCAGCCATAATCATGAAAATAAAGGATGATATATTCATTCCAACAATTTCATTTCCATATGTAAATACTGATCTTCATGGATTCATTTATACGGGTATTACATTTATACGAGTATTACATTTTGCACACTGAAAGGTTCCAAGATTTGCAACTACCGGAAGAAGTTTAACAATGTCGTTTGCATTATATTTAGTCTGGTTCGAAGCTATTACTTGTAAACCAAAATACTGTCGTATAACCTCTAATGCTAGAAAAAGAACAAAGAAAAGGAAAGGAAAGAAAAGAAAAGAAACAAAAGGAAAGAAAAGAAAAGAAAAAGAAAAGAAAAGGCTGCCTTCCAAGACTACAGCAATCTTTTCAACGTAGTTTCATTAATTCAATGCGTATTATCATCAACAAAAACTGGCTAAATATATCAAAACTTGATGGCAACACATTTACGAATATCAATGTTTGTGATGAGTGAAGACTAAAAATCCATTTGTTGTACACGGATAGTAACAACCAAATTGATGAAAAGTTAATTCTGTGTGATACATGGATATGAAGAGTACCTGGAGTAAGAACTAACATTTCTAATTCAAGCGTCGTAAATTATTAGGCCAAATTTGTAGAACAGTACATTTTATTGATCATTCTGACCTTTAAGTACTTTTGCACATTGATTGCTTTAGGAGAAAAGCAATATATATATATATATATATATATATATATATATATATATATATATATATATATATATATATATATATATATATATATATAGTTTATTGTCACATTTATAAAAATTAGATCTACATACATCAAAAATAAACTATACTGTACTAGTAACTAAAAAATCAAAATATGACCTAGGTCCTATGGAAAACTTTATAAATACTGTTTTTCAGAGTGTTTCAGCAATGTTTCATCGACTTTAATGAGAGGTAACTCCATATTGTATAAAAAAACTGAAGCAATATTTTATGCCTTATTTACATAGATCGAGAATTGTTTGCTTGGCAGTTTGTTACATTTTACAAAATAGATGATTTCTTCATAATTGCACAGCCATAATTTTTTTTAAAAACTTGAATGCAAAAATTGCATAAGATCAATCATTTCTTCATTATAGATTTGAATGACGATAATTACAATTGCAGTGCTTCCTCACTTGGTAAACCTGAAGCTTACAGCGGATATTTGTTTCAAGAGGGTTTTTTCCTTTTAATTGTTCATGTTTAATTTAGCTTTAATTTTAGTCATATTGCAACGATGTCTGCAGTATGGCAGTTATAGTGATGTCTAGTACTGGGGCATCATGCCACAGACATGTAGCATACCCAGTCACATTATCCTAACACTATGCCGACTCGTGACTCGTCCTACCATTAACTTCATAATGATGTGAGCCATGCAAGGCAGCTACTAGTACCATTTGTATAAGTCTTGGGTATGACTCGGCCGGAATTCGAACATACGATCTCCCACGTCTGAGGCGGACGCTCTAACCACATAAGCCACCAGATCTGTCCAAATGCCTATATGTGCGTGTGAATTCTTAATTTTCAATTTGAAGACTTTATCGTAGCCGTGAAAAATTTACTTTAAACAGTTTTGTTTTCATAATTGATTCATACAAAGTATTTTTTCAACATGCAGAGCCGGATAAGGTGCGGGCGGGGCGGGGCTGGGCAAGGGGGGGGGCGGCGCTTGGCGGAGCGGTTTACAAACCCCGACGTTAATAAAACCCAAAACAAACCTTCTCACAAACGTGCAGTCACTTGTCACTTTATATTTTACCAACGTTAATTCTTGCTCACGTTTATTAGATAGTATGCACACTTTGAGTGAACAGAGATAGATTTTCACTTTGGTGCGCTTCAGAGATTTTGAACCAGCCCCTTCCCGCACACTCTTGACCTGATCTGGCCCTGACACGCGTTGAGGATGACTCGTCATATAACACTTGAACGTAATCACCTTGGTTAGAGTCAAGTTTAAAATGAAATTAGATAAGTCTTTGATGCAACGACAGTATCATACACACATATGTCTCTGCTATCATCACTATTTATTTTCTTAATAAAAAATGAGCATTTAAGACTAGTCTTTGGTGGACAAAAGTTTCTGGCACGAATGAATCCATAACAATGAAGACATGACGTCAATATTTACATATACTAATAGTTATGCTTCTGGTTTGTTAGATTTTAACGTTGTTTTGCAATCACTTCAATATTTTTATTTATAGTAGGTGGAATATAACGTCATAGAATCATACAATGAATCATACATTTATTGAAATCATGATAGATAAGTGAATGAACCGGAAGGGTTCAACTAAATATGCAGGCTAGATTTTTTGCATTAAGTGCAAATGTGCAGCTTCTTGTAAACAACTATAGTGATGGCTGAGTGTTCTCCATCACCCAGTCGTTTCAGAAATTCCGACAACCAACATCTGCATCATGTTCGAACATTTTTTTCAATACGTACGAGGGATTTATACAGTAAATCAGTAAAGAAAGATTATTCGTGCGAAAATGAGAAGTCTTTGTTAAAATATAAAGTTTGCCCTAACATGGTTTAATATTCTCTTGGTTAATTTTGGTGCAGTATACACCTGGATAATTTCTTTCTTTTTTTAAGAAAAGGTGCCTTTCAGACTATTTCGAAGATACTTTTTCTTAAACGATGCATCACTGATCTCTAAATATTTTCCTTTCGTAAATAGCAACGGGAAAATGTTGCTGTTATACATTACAAACGTCAGTCTGCGCAATAGTTTATTCCATACTAAATTCCAAAGGGTAAGTGTGTCATAGTCAAGTAATCGTGTGCTTCCTTTAACAAACCAACCTGCATCGTTAACTGCACGCAGTGAAGCATTGAAGAGATAACAATTTCGTAAGTTTCTCTGGTGAATTGCCTTGCTCTTCATATTTTCAATAAATCGAATGTATTATGACGATAGGTTTGAAATTACACATACTAAAAATTCTCGATTACATTGGCGCCAAAAGTTATATAATCAAGTGAAAACATTGTCAGTCTATGAATGCAAATTTCTGATGTCTAGAAACTTAAACTTTTTAATTTTCAGCCTTAAATTAGTCATTTCATTTTAACGGCATTTTTTCTAAACGTTTTAGCAAACTTAAAAATATACATTTTTACATGGGTTTATAGACCCGAATTAAAAAAGTGCCATAAAAGAAAAATAAGACTCCTCCCCAATAATTAAATTTACTGTTTGATAGCTGTAACATAAACCTTACTTACTCTCTAATAATGGATCTATTTAGTTTGTTAGCAGAAATTATTAGAACAAACAACAAATACTCTGATACACCATCCCATTTCACAACGGTAGATCAGGGTCAATGTTATTTGTTGTTGGACCCATTTTCAAATCAAGGTCAATGTTATTTGTTGTTTGACCCATTTGCAAATCAGGGTCAATGTTATTTGTTGTTGGACCCATTTTCAAATCAAGGTCAATGTTATTTGTTGTTTGACCCATTTGCAAATCAGGGTCAATGTTATTTGTAAGCGAGTATCGACGGTATGGACAATTAAGAACAATATATGCGTTAGCGTAACGAGAGTTTTGGATTGATTGAAAGGTAACAGCTTAGAAAACTAGTTTTCACAGTTGTTTATCTCGAGGTCTTGACCAGTAAAGAATTCTTATGACCATGACGTCATTCACTGCTTGTTTCTTAATGAGCAATATTACGTAAATTATACACCTTAGCACTGGTTGCAGATAAGCCAGAAAGTAGTATGTAACTTAAATGTCGAACCTATTCGTCACACTGAAGTCCACAAAAGATACAATGTCATCAAAGAATTCATAGTTCTTATTTTGTGCCAAATGTGAGGACATACCTATAATTTGGGGTGGGGGTGGCTGTAAGGGTAAAATAAAGATACACGTTTTATGACTTGTATTGATTAAAAACAATAGCGTAGCACCAGCGAAGCAACGGGGGCTTGGGGGGGGGGGGGCAGCCAGACCCAGTGGGTGCCAACAATTCCCATCAAACATACTTTTTCATTGGGAGGAGACCCTATAATTTAGTTTGGCGGGCAAGTGGGTGAATGGCCAGAATATTTTCTTACGCCACAAATTGGAAAATAATTGTAAAAATACAAAAACATATCCTCTGCATTATGCAGACACGGTTCTTTCTTCACTTATACTTAAGGTAATGCCATTCCGAATCAGTCCTAAAGTATCTAGCTTTGAGAGACATTTTAAATCATGTTTCTTCCTCTAAAAAAAGTCCAATCTTTGTTACAATTCCCGAAAATACATTGTATGTGTACACTATTTTAGGTCGAAGTGTTAGAATCTTGGTTTTCTACCGTAAATGTGTACATAAAAGTAATACTCTCTCTCTCTCTCTCTCTCTCTCTCTCTCTCTCTCTCTCTCTCTCTCTCTCTCTCTCTCTCTCTCTCTCTCTCTCTCTCTCTCTCTCTCAAAAGTAATTATACTCTCTCTCTTAAAAGTAATTATACTCTCTCTCTCTCTCTCTCACACACACACACACACACACACACACACACACACACTCACACACACACATTTGGTGGACACCTTGAACTATATAACAGATTCCGATGAGCTCTATTTTGTTGTAGTGATGTGTCACTTTAACAGTGAGGATATACTTTTAAGAATTTGAAACTATAAGGACACAAAATCACTATAGTTCTTCAAGATCTCGAAAGTTCTAGAGTGGCAGCCTGAAGTGATGCCAACAGTCTAAACACCCTGTACACATGCCAAATACATTTCAATATTATTTACCCTAAGACTGTTGCAAGCCAACAATATCGGTTTTACTGAAAGGAATCTTGGCATAGTTTATGGTTTATATACTATTACAATGTATGTGTGGTCATTTACCCCTTCTGGATCACGGACCTATTCAGAAACAGAAACATTGCTTTGTGGAAATGGGTGTAAACAGGTTGGTGAGGGAACTGTGTTACGAAACCCACGATTGGGGCCTAGGTGCCAAAACCGTCCAACAAATTTAACGCGTTTACAGGGCATACTTGTAACCGTGTAACTATAAAAGAAAATTGTCTCTTGGAAACATTCCTGTTGTTTCGTGCACAGTTTCCTTTTTCATTGAGGGTAGAGGGGAGATGGGTCGCGCCGGCTTCTCTTCCCCTTCCTCCCTGACCAGCCTGTATTTAACACACAATAAAGTTAGAAAGCACAAGCGACTTCACCTTCACAGCTATATGTTCGTAAACCATTAATTTAAAAGTCTATTAAATGTCATTGCATTATCATAAAACCATCCCAAAGCTTGGAGGTTATTTTGAATGTCTAATCAGCATCAAATTTTTATTATATTACATGTAATTGTTTTTTGTCTAATTACTAAATAAAATTATATCTTTTAAAAAGTAGATCTCTTGTTGTGTTCCTAAAACAAATTACAACTTGTCAAGCCCAAGCAATTCTCAGGATGTCTTTGTTTCATTTAAAATACTGGTGAACAGGCTTATTCAATTTCAGTTTGACTAATATCTTGATAGCCCAATTAAGCAGACAAATTTGCTACTTCCGGTTAATTCGCCGGATTGGATTCATGCCATGTTCGTCCGAGAGTGATGCGTTGGTACGTAACTGTTTTTGAATAGATATGTGTAGTTGTGCAATCTTCTTGCGATTCTGAAGCTATAAAAGACGCATGAGAATAATCGAATCGAGCGGAGGGTTGTCGTCACACTTGCATTCCTTGTGTTAATTTATAATACCGTTAAGGTGATTTCATGTTGTCAGAAATTTCGTCGTGCTTTATTGATAATACTGCAGACTCCTGTGATACAACAAACGAAGTTTGTATATCGATGATGAGTTCTAAGGTCATTAAACCCCTTCGTGTTTAACGTCAAATAAATGTTGCAATGTAGCATATCGGTGCAAACACAATGCCAAGTGTTACCTTGATTAACACGATATCATCAACGAAACTGGAATTTTATATGACATTTTCTACATCAATCACCGCAGAGGAAGTTTGCACACTTGTATCTTTGTACGTTAATCGCATAATATTTGGCAAAATATTTAATCACGGCCATAGTTGGCTTAATATTTAATCGCGGTCGTTTAGGCATTTTTATTTAATATTTGGCATAATATTTAATCGCTGCCATATTTGGCATAATATTTAATCGCGGCCATAGTTGGCATAATATTTAATCGCTGCCATAGTTGGCATAATATTTAATCGCGGTCATAGTTGGCATAATATTTAATCGCGGCCATAGTTGGCATAATATTTAATCGCGGTCGTTTAGGCACTTTTATTTAATATATGGCATAATATTTAATCGCTGCCATAGTTGGCATAATATTTAATCGCTGCCATAGTTGGCATAATATTTAATCGCGGTCATAGTTGGCTTAATATTTAATCGCGGCCATAGTTGGCATAATATTTAATCGCTGCCATAGTTGGCATAATATTTAATCGCGGTCATTTAGACACTTTTATTT